AGTACCATGAGTTTGTATCTCCCCCTTTTATCCACTCAGCTCTGGCTTTTTTCCTCCAGTATTGCTCTTCCTACTTGTAGCAGTAATGAAGTTGTTTTTTAGGGAGTCCCAATTATTCCAGTCTCAAGACCTCTTTGTTGATTTATTTCAGCTAGTTGGGTATTGAGCTGATTTATTTTCCTTTCTCGAGTTGGTCTCAAACTCTTACTCCATTTAAGAATTTTTGTACTTGTTTTTTTGATTTTTTGGAGCAAAATTGAAACATTGGGGTGCCTTCATGCTGAATATTCCAGGCATTGCTTACAAATTCTTACAGTCCTTCATTACCTATCCATCTTCTATCAAACTTGAAGTGCCTCTTCCTTGTGCTAGTCACCTCAGGATGAAGATTGTTTAATAGCAGGCTGTGGTATGAAGCATTCCTGAAGATGTTAGTGACATCTTCCAAAGATCCGATCCAGCTTGAATAGGTTGCCAAACAGTTTAGAGAACCAAAGATCCTATCCAGCTTTTCCTCCACAAAACCTTCCCCCTCTCTTCTATTTCCCCAAGTGAAGTTGTACCCTTTCCAAGCAAACTCATTCACTTCCATTTAGCAAATGAATTCTTTGAAATCTGAGAAGGATGAGTCATGTCTTCTCCTACCACCTCTTTTCTCCTCATGGAAAGTGAGGTCATTCCAATCCCCACCTAAAAAAAATTTCATTCCCCACTTCCTTTTTTCTTTCACTAGCCACTTTCTCTGATCTATCCTAGTTTGGGCATCAGTACTCAGATAAAAAAATATTCCCCAACAAAAAGTAGCTTTATAAGGATCCCAGAACTGGACTTAGATGCTAAAAGAGTTCAAAAGCACACTGGTGACCTGGGTATTGTTATCCCAACCTAATAGTAAGCCTCCACTCATACCAATTGGTTCAACAGCAGCCCAATTATTTCATAACACCAAATTCCTACAAACAGTTTGTACAAACTTATTATTCTTCTTAGTTTTAGATAGAAAAATTATACTCGGGTGGTGTAGCCTTAAGATTTCTTTGATTTGGGAAATTGTAGAGGGCCCACCCAGTTCTGTATAATTCCACACCGTAACTCTCATTGAAATTGGTGAGGCCAATTTGGGCTGGCCTCCACTACCCCTTCCGGTGTAATTTTACTTTTCTTCCTCACCTGAGATTCACCTTCTTATTGCACTTGGGTGTGATGGTTCCTTAGTTGTTGGTTCTGAGATAAAAATATGTCTTTTGCCTCTGGTGGCCTTGGTATTCTTGGGTTCTGGAGAGGGAGTAACAACCAGAAGAGTCTTTCTCCTCCAACTTCTTTTAGGTTTTAATGTTTGATCAGTTTTGGAGGGCTGGACTTGTTTGGGTAATTCTGGAGGGCTGATGGGGGCCTTGGTTATCAACAAATTGGGTTGAGGTATGTTTAAGTAATGTTGTTTAGAGATGTGGGTTCAGAGTCCATAGGGGAATTGAGTAAAGGTTATGGGATGTGGTCTTGTTTATTAGGGGTATTGTGAAGGTCTTGCACTGAAGGAAGTGGGGTAAGAGATTGTATTATAGTCAGTGTAGGGTTGGATTTGTTTGGTTGAGTGTTAAGGTTGGAGTTTCCATGATGTGTGGGGGTAAAAGGTTAGAGCTGTCTATGGTACCTGAGAAGTGTTTTGGGTCTGGGAGCTGGTTTTTTTAAGTGGTGTTGATGTGTTGCTAGGTTGGCCATAACAAGAGGGCGGGGGTGATTCATGGGATCTGAGCCAATCTCCATAGAGGCCTTCTTTTAATGTTCTTTGGGCAATGTCTTCTGTTCTCCTGGTACAGCTTCTGTCAAGGTGGCCCAGGACTCCACAAAAATAGCACATGCTCACGAGCCTCTCATACTTGAAATCCATAGTTAGTTTTCTATGGCCTAACTGAATAGTTGCACATCTCAATGAAGGTTGGGTGATGTCAACTGTAACAAGCACTCTCAAGCATTTGCCTGCAATGGGGCCTCCCTATGGAATTTATACACTTTTAACATCCTTGAAGACCTTTCCAATTTTGAGACCAACGTTTGCTGCTAGCCAGTGAAGAGGAATATTCCACACTTGGACCCATATATCGAGTTCATCAAAGTCTGGGTGTTTTGGGCTTATTTCTTCTTTCCATTCCTTCAGAATTAGGAATTGGTTTTCAAAAGTCCATCCTACTCCTTTTGCTACTTTGCATTTGTCCTCTTCCACCGCAAAGATTAACAGGAAATAATTCGGCTTCAATTCCCTAATTGTAACTGTCGACCTAATTTGCCAAATCAGATGAATCGCTCTCTTCAGCCTGACGAGATAAGCCTTCTTATTTCCAATGATGTTCCCAAACAGGCTTTTCTTACATTCTTCTGAGCTGATATGTATGTCCACTAAATCAATCAGGATAGCCGAAGCCTCTTTATCAGATAGCTGAAATGCTCCAAGTTTGATAGCTATTTTTTCCGCCATGGAAATATCAAGAGCCAGTGGATTTGAGGAGATATAGGATAACTTAGGCGTGGGAGAAGGAAAGAAAAGGGGAGCTAGAAGGACAGAGAAGAAATGAAATAGATAGATTACAAGGTAGAGATAATTTAAAACCTGCTTAGCTTGGTAAATAGCTCCTATATGGAGAATGAATTGCGCCTAAAATCTGGTACTTCCTCCATAATCGCAAGGAATTTATCGCCTTCATGTAGAAAGAATAGTTCCCACTCATTTTGGAAGTTGATTTTGACAGATCTAGGTCGGCCACGTATTCGAGTTGGTATTGCATGTGGTGCTTGATCATCGAGCGTAAAAATTATATATTGTTCAACTGATTAACAGTTAAATTATATATTGTCCAACTGACTAAAAATTATATGTGCCCTTTTGATTTACTAAAAATTTGAAATTTTTAGGGAAATTTTTACTTATCCAACATGAAATTGAAAAATTTTGCAAATCTACCATCCAGTAACAAATAATTGTGTCTCTACCTAATTGTAAGATTTAATTAATGCCTACAATTCAGTTACCTAAAAAGTGGACTCCATTCACTTTCTGTTTCCATGATTTCTGCCGTTTCCATAAAAACAAAAAAAAAAAAAAAAANNNNAAAAAAAAAAAAAAAAAAAAAACATTGCCTTCATTGATATGGAATGAAAAATCAGGTGTTTCCTTAATTCGCGCAGCTTGTATGTTTATTAATAGAGAAAAATAAAACCATGTATTGTAATTCATGCAGCCGTCTAATATATGT